GGCGCAGATCAGAGAGGGTATACGTACCCCGTCCTTCTCGTCCGACGACTCTGTGTTGCCTATGGGTATGCTTGAGAAAGATAAAGAGGAGGCTATACCGAATTCTGTTCCGGAATTGTAATACTGCACCGCACCTTAGCACGGAATGTCGTTCATGCTTCTGCCATTTATATCTCTATACCCTGTTTTTTGTCTCTCGTGTTTTTCAGACATTGTTGCTCAGAGCGCTGTCTTTGGAAACTTGCATTAGCTGTGTATGCATATCCCTTAGAGCGCGATGTCGTTAATTCTATAGACAAGCTCGAGTGCCTCGCCTATGTATGCTGTCGCGTTGTATCTGGTTCCTTTGGAAAACTCCCATTCCAATGCATCTTATAGTGTCAAATAAACAAGTGTCTGCTAATCAATCACGTAGCGTGGCATTGCATTACAATTGCAGGTGGACTAAGAGCCTAGTACTACCATTCAGGTCTTGATTTAAGTCAAGGATCGAGTATTCATTCATATTTCTCGTATTGAGCCCACCCACTAGTATTCCTCACAAACCCATCCCATACGCCAAACACAAAATAAAACAAAACATGCTGATATCAATCCCAATGCAAAGACAAGAAAGCATGCTCGTAAAACTGGACGCAGACAGATCCAGCATTCTCCCCCCTGGCTATTACCAGACGGAGAAGAGAAGTATAGACAGTGCCACATAACCCAGATAAATTAGACCCGGTACACATCTTCATCATCCTCCAGATACATCAGGATATTGTCGTCATTCATGACTCGCAAGGCCTGGATAGCTTCAGGGCGGGAGAAGACGTGCGAAGCGCCAAGCTGAGGCGATTCCCGGATGGCGGTATTAACAGCATTAATCAAGTCATCAATCTTGCTTGTATCGCTGTCTCTAAACACAGTCTTGCCCATAAGCGGGCCCAAAGTCTGCCGGAAGACTGTCATGCGGGCAGGGGTGATCGGGACGTCTGTGGAAGTGGACTGCGAGTCTGTCTGGGACTCGATGAGTTGCGAGGCTGGCTTTGAGGATGCCATTGACATCTGAGAGTCGGTTTGGGTTTGAGTGCGAGCTGTCTGGCTCGAACGCAAGCGTTGAGCGCGAGGGCTGGCTGTGTATAGGCTGTCTGGGTCTTCGTCTTCGTCTGGGACAGGACCACTAGATTGCGTTGCGATACCGCGGGTGCGTGCTGTGCCAGTACGTCTACCCGGTGTGGCGGTTGAGGTGCCGCGGGCAGTGGCGTCATCATCGGAGTTGTCGTCGAGTTCGGCATCGCTGTCGTCGGAGGAATCATCGAAGGTGGTCACCTTGCGTCTTTTCCGGCGCTCATCCTCGACTACTTCCTTAAACATGGCGAAGCGCAGGATGGCCTCGGCATGTTTAGCATCCTTCTCCTCAACTCGATTAGACAGGCGAGCTTTGGCGTGTGCAGTAGACAAACGAATCAGTGTTTCCAGGGTACGAGGGGTGATGGGCGATGTGCGACGCTTGTTGCCGGTGAGTTCATCGTTTCGCAGAGCAGAGTATGCAGCGATAACGTGGTTGGCAGCACCCCTGGTCAAGACGGGCATGATTCGCTTCTTGGCGTATTGGATATACTTCTTGAGGAAGGGAATACTAATAATTTCCACATCCTTGCCACGGCGGCGGCCAGCATTGGTAGCGTTGACCATACCACCGTGGAGCATCACATTAAACTTCTCGAAAACTTCACTTGGCGCGTTGGCATCTTGACGATCTTCATTTCCGACGCCCAATGTTTGATTGAGCTGTTCCCGAACGGGTGCACCCTCCTCAGTGCCAGGCTGGCGGTAGCGATGCATGCGTAGAACGTGCTCTGAGATTATTCGGTCATGGGCATCCTCAATATCATCGGTCACGACAAATAGCAAATCGAAACGAGAAAGCAAAGAGTCGGGGAGAGCAATGTTCTTATGCGGGTCCTTGTGGGGATCATATTGGCCATAAATCGGGTTGGCTGCTGCAAGGACACTGCAGCGAGCGTTCAAGCTTGTGTGGATACCGGCTTTGGCAATTGTCACGGTCTGCTGTTCCATGACTTCGTGGATGGCGACACGATCGACATCACTCATCTTGTCGAATTCATCAATACACACCACACCACGGTCACCGAGAACCATAGCACCAGCCTCTAATCGACGTTCGCCGGTTTCCTTGTCCGAGGTGACAGCAGCAGTTAAACCGACACCGGAGGAACCTCGACCGGTAGTCGCGATTGCCAGTGGCGCGGTGTTCAATACGAAACGAAGAAGCTGGGACTTCGCAGTGGACGGATCACCAACCATAAGAATGTTGATATCACCACGAAGATGGGTTCCGTTATCCAAGTTCTTCTCCATTCCACCTAGAAGCATCAGGAGGATGGCTTTCTTGATGTGGTCATGCCCGTAAATACTGGGAGCCAGAGACTTGGACAACAAGTCAAACACGTTCTTCTTCTTGGCAATCTGATTGATGTTTCGAATATCGGTATCCGTAAGCACAGCCTCCGCAATACCTCCACCGCTCTTCGAGGACAACTGAACAATATTGTTCGCCATGACAACTGTGCGGAACGTCGACGAGCCACTACCTCCGTTGCCGAGGGTACGGTAGATACCTACCAACTGGATTCTATCACCAGGCTTGGCAGTGTCGACGAGGTCGTCGTCCAAGATAACATCGACACTTCGGGGCAATTGTCCTGCCGGGGCACGTTCGGGCATTTCTTGGATAGAGATCGACTGATGGTCGAGATATGTTGAGTAGCCGTACTCCGTGATAAGCTAGATATTCTATCATTAGTTTCAAATGATTGAGTGAGATTGTCCAGGCTAAACTCACCGGATTCTTTTCGTCGTCTTCTTGGGGGTAAACGTTCAAACTAGTTGCACCGCTGGCACTCATAGTTTGATCACGATATTTTCTGGCGACAAACCGATCCTTTCTCTCGACGTAGTGGACACTTTGGATAATCTTGGGGCGTACCAGAGAGCATTTTGTCACAATTCCCTCGAGCGAGACCATGTGGTTCAATTGTTCCGAGCCCAATGTGCGCGGATTGCAAGAGAATTCTCCGAATGCGCCAACATAAGCGCAGTAGTAGTTCTATTGATATTGTTAGACGTTCCATGTCTGCTAAGAATCATTGAGAACCTAATACACACCGCTTCATCTGAAGATTCTTTAAGTGGTCGACCGGGTAGGGTTTTAACGACCGCCTTCAAAGCTGCATCAAAGGCTTGTGAATAATCGAACGGCGAAGAGAGTAGCCTATACCCGTTAGTCGGTGAACCCAATTTCGGTTGGTGTCGAGGAATAATTTACCCATCGGCAAGCTCCCGGTTATGTGCTCTGATATCATCGATGCTGACCTGTCCAAAATCATCAGCATCTCCTACTAGCAGGGAATTTCGCAGATCCACGCACTGTCAATCGTCGCGCACCCTTGTTCAGCATAACCACAATATCCGCTCGATAACTGTTCCAGCCTGTTAGATATATATATCACATTGATCTTCGAGGTCGACGAACCTGCGTGCCCGTGCATCATCTGAAAAAAAGAACTTTGTTAGCTCAAGGGACCACAACACATAACTCAATGGACTTACTAGGGTCAAGAAATTCAGTTGCAGCACGCACGCGATCCTGCGCGGCCTCATCACGTAGTTGTAAACCGTCCATGGTGTGTGATGCAATATAGTGTGGTAGGAAGGAGGGAGTGGAGGGCCGATTGGGATTTCCCGATTTGCTAAAGTGGAACGCGTGAAGTTGCACGCGAGGAAGGCGCGTCCCCCGGGTACCACGTGCCGTGCTGAGTCAGCAAATAATTTTTCACTGGCTATATAAGCCGCCATCCCCCCGGTCCTTTTTCTTTTCTTCAAGCGACTCTACGTGCGTTCTCCTCCCCCCAACAGCTGGAAACCTTCTGGTTTTCCTCGCTGAACATGGCATTTTGAACTTTTTGCTAACATTCCTTTCCTCTACAGTTCAAAGAATCACTTTAGAGTAGACGTCCCCTTTCTAAACTCTTTAAAAGAGCCACAGAATCTCCACCCTTGCTGATGACTACATGTCCTCGATGCCCTAAAGTGAAACCTTTTTACTCCCGCCTCGACTGTCACGCGTGCTGTCCGCAGTGTCTGTGTTTCGGTCTAGGGAGTGGTGATGATCTTGACCTGGTCTCGATGTCTGACTTCGGTCGGTCGGTCCTGGTGGGTGTCGAGGAGGTCTGAAAGGTCCTCTTCCATTCTGGTTGATGGTATGGAGCGCTGCGTGTTGGCCTTTTTTTTATGGCTATTTACCCACAATGAAAATAATCTCACTATTCAAATTCCCCTTCAAAACGATCTTTCGTAATTTTCCTTGTCCCATGTCAAAATAAATACTTGGCCCTACGCCCTGCTCAACTCCTCTGGGAGTTCGGCCTCATGGGTCTGATGCAAGATGTACCTTTTCTATGGGATGCGTATACAAAAGGTACCTTCAAATATGTACGTATATCTCCACCATATCATTATTTTTCAATCAAGTAGACATAGATCTGGTGGATTGGTATAGCCTATACATTAGGGGATTGTACCCTGCCCGAGATCTTAAGCATCGGCTTTCTGCTATTTCTTGAATTTTCTGCTAGCCATACTTCTTTTTAATGTTTAAATTCTTGTTTACCTACTGCGTGGTGAAAAATGCACCATTCTACTCACAAATTATAGGCTAGTAACTGTCCGACAATAATATTTACCAGATGTACATACATCAACATGTATAACCGAGCTACTCCTTGCCATGTGGTTACGGACGTTTGGCCTAATAATACTACTTCCTTCTCCGTCCTAGAAGAGGAGGGTACAAAAGACTTTTAACTATGTAGTTGGAGGTATTCAACCAGTGATGTCCAATGAAAGGTGGAAAATTCTGATGTATTGTACAAATATGATATATAGAAACAAGCTAAAATTACAATCACTATACATGGACTGGAGCACGCTGCTCAACGGTCGTCGCCCTGGTCTTCCCTGGGCGTCCAGGGTCCCTTGTATCTTTGTCGTTCGGACGCTCGCTTCGCTAACGTCCGCCCGGGTTTTACATGGAGCCCGGCAATGGGCTTGAACATAAGGTAGGGAGGGGTTTGTAGCTTCCACTTGCGATTATCCTTGTCGAACAGTTGCCGTTTGGCGGTCGGGCTCTTGACGTCGGAATATAGCAACTTGACCAAACGTCGTTTGTGGGCGTCGGCGCGTGGCATATCCCTGTCTTTGAGCGCCATAGCAATAACCTCGTGGTAATGCTTGATTCGGTCCTTCCACTGTTGCGCCGTAACGCGATACTCGTGAACTGTAGTTTCCAGGTCAACTCGGTCCTCGCGAGGAAGGATGCTCGCCAACGGGCCGAATAATCCCTCTTCGTGAACGGCGAGTAAGCCAGTAAGATTTAAATTGTTGACGGCGGGCTCGGAATGTTGGTCTTTTCTCAACACGAGAGGTTCCTTAGTCGCGTCATCAAAGGTGCGTTCATGCATGTCGCGACTAGGGCCAAGAGCACCAGAGTGCGAGGAGGACAGATGGGTTGGGCGTGGGAGGATATCGCGTTTTGCCGCCTTGCCGCGAAGTATGGAACCCTGATATTTATCAGCCACGGTTGGCATCGCGGCAAGGGCATCAACAGTCTGTGGCGCAATCTTGTAGAGATTGGCCAGATGCTCGTTCCCCTCCGTAATACTGGTTTGCCGGAGCTGTTGCAATGTGTTGGCTAGTTGCACCATGGTGGGGTAATGAGGGTGCATGTAACCGGGGTCGATTTTGCGCCAATGCTTCCGGGCCAACTTTCCCATCATCCTGCGAGGTTTGGTGATACCCGCGCGACCTTCGAGGTGGAGGATTGTCACGGGGGCGTTAAGTGGTCTCACACCATATCCTTTGAGAAACCACGACCAACCAGGGAAATGAACAATGAACTTCTCTTCGAAAAGTCTAAATGCCTCCACATTGTCAGGATAATGATCAGATGTCGCAAGCGTCCTAACGTAAGTTGACCAGTTGAAACCAGTCAATGCAAAGCCTGCTGCCTGAACTTCGGCTACAACTTGATGCATTCTCGCGAACATGCCTCGGCGAGCCAACGACTGCAGGTAAAGCGAAAGTGGATAGTCCAGGATGAAGCGTTGAGCAGGAATGATTTTGGGCTTTTCTGCTTGAGTGGACATTGAAAAAATTGACGGGAGAGAGGACACGTCTGGTGCTGGCAGCGTTGACTCCGGCGACGGTGCTGACAAGAGTTTGTCAAGATCGCAGGTACCGGCTGCCTTGTTTGCACTTGCGATAATACTGTTCCAGCACTCTTCCACTTTCTCGTAGTTCTGGGTTTCTAAAAAGGCATTCATAACGGCTTTGACGAAGTCAATCGGTAAAGATTTCAAATCATCGCCGTCCGATAATCCCGCGGTTCGTCTGAGTTGCATGTAATGAGTAAAAGTTTCGAGTGCTTTTCTGGCGCCACCTACGATGCCGTATGCGTCGATCAGCCGTTGATAGTGCGTGGCAGTGAAAGACTCAACAGCAAAGCCCTCTAACGGTCTAGATAATCGACTGTTGGCTGGCGATGGATTGGCATTGAATCGTGAGATTGATTCAGCAAGCGTCTTTTCTGCGTTCTCCAACACGATATCTTCAATGGGGGTTTCGAGATCCTTTGCGGTCTCCACGTCTCTCGCAATCTGCATTCTCAGGCTCAAAAGGCTCTCCTCCATCCCGATTCGACCGAAGCGTTTTTGCATTTCGCGGGAGATGACATACACCATATCACGATTCCGTTCCTTCACATATCCAAGCAAGAGAATGGAATAATGGTGCTCGGTGACTTGAAAACCAGCTTCATGCATCTTTCTGAGGGCAGCTTGCGCACGATCCACCTGCTTAGCATAGACATAAGCAAGCATAACAGCCGCGTAAGTCATGTCATCCGGTTTCAATCCTAGGCGTCCCATGCGGTCAAGGACACGGCGGAAGGAAAACTTTGATACCCTGAATGCATACCGCATTAGAAGAAAATTCCACATTCGCAAGGGAGACCCTCCCACCGCTAAATCCCAGCTCAGTGCGATAAGCTCTTCTGCATGGGCCAATTGCCCATTCTTGCAGTATGCTTGAACGGCCGTTTCAATCATTGGTCTCGTGATTTGTACTCGACTCTTCTGCGCCTCTTTGAGCAATTGACGGATTGCTTCGACGTCGCCTCGCTGGGCGAAAATCGCCATCAGTGTGCCAAATGTGTACGAGTTGGAGGGTACTTTATTTTCTCGCATTTCTGAGAATATAGAAAGAGCACCCGATAAATCCTTGGCAGTAGTGTACGCCAGAAGCAGTATATTCCAGCAAATTGTGTTCACCGGGAGACCAAATTCTGTAGGAATTCGCTCGAATTGTCGCCGTGTCTCGCGCACATCACCTAACCGCGCGTGAACGGCAAGAAGGGGGATCACCGACCCATGAAACTTTGGGTGGCCGTGATCTGCCAGGAACCTATCAAACAGGTGTTGGACAGTTCGTACATCCCCAATCCGTGAAAATGCACTCATGGCTTCATTGTATGACAACATGCTTGGTCTTTTATTTTCATCAAAGTGCGCCTCTTCGTCCAAAAAATATAGCATGCTGTCGGTCATCTTGAATTTCACCACGCGTTGAGTAATAGCACGAATAGTGGTGAGGTGCATCCTTTCATCCGGAAATCTTGAACGAAAGTAGCGATAAACAAGAATGCACTTGACTAATTCCGGCCTCTGCTCTGATTGTAGGAAGACTTGTATCAAATTGAAATAGTGTCTTGTGGTCAAGAGACCAAGAGGACGGCATTTGTGCAACAGTTCAAGCAAAGTCGGAATCGGTGTGGATATGACCATGTCATCAGAGCTAATAAATCGCTCAATTAGACGGCGCAAAAAGTCATTTGCTGCTGCACTAACCGTGCCGGCACTTATCAGGTGCGCAGTGAAAGCAAGGAGATGCCTCGAAAGGGAATAATCAGGGAAGTGAAATCGATCAAATCGATCCAGAAAAAAGTCCAATGGTGGTCGCTCATTCGCACGGGTCGCCAATAGCTTCTTCCAGAGTGAGGTAATTTTAGACCACTGTCTGTTTGCCATCATGTGCATCAGGCCCAGCGAGATGATTTCTTGGGCAAATGGAGTGGAAATGGCTTCCTGGCAGATCTCATCCAAATGCTGGGGTCTTTTCTCGGGTAGCGACAGAATCTGTGATTTTATAATGTTCTTGAAGTCTAAGTCGGTGCGATCTTTGGGTGCGATTTCGTTGAAGAGTGTCCATGCTCGGCGTTGATCCTTTTTTTTGGGTGATTTACTCATATAAGCACAGAGTGCAGACTTGAGTTTCGACGGACATCCAGCTGCAACGTACAGAACCCAAGCTTTATCGAATTCGCTGCCATTCTCCTGAAGGAACGCCTGGAGGGATGCGCTCGCTTCACCGTCCTCATCGAGAGATTCTGGATTTTGAGGCACTTGCGCCAGCTTTGGTGCATATTCATGTCTGGATGAAGCCTCTGATGGAGCTTGGCAAAGACTTGAAAGAGAAACATAAGACCTTGAAAAGCTCAAGTGTCTCCTCCGAAACCCAGTCCTGTTTTGGGAGCGAGGCAGACGCGAAGCTACTAAAGTTTGAGCCTGCTGAGGATATAAGAATTCGAGTGATGGCCCTATCCCATCGCTTGACTCTCTGCTTTCGTGTTGAGTGCTAAGAACGGGGGACGATCGTTGGCCTGACGCCTGCAAAAGCGCGATAAACCACTGAGGAGCATTCGCTCCAACGCCGGTATGCTTCCAAAAATGACCAGAGAGACAGCTTCCGTTTCGGATCACGCCATTGGAGTCTTGAAGGAAACGCCGTCCCGCGTTCTCGAGGGAGCTTGTTGCACGTTCGAGCATCACCCTCAATCGTAGTCTCAAGCGGTAAGATGCCGCTATAATTCCGTCGTCTGTATTGTATTGGGTTCAAAAGCTCTGCCTAGATAATTATTCTGTCAGCAAAATGTCCTAACTTTGAGTATGGCAAGCAATTGAGCATGTTGTGCTTGGTGGTGCCATTCGTACCAGGAAAGGAAGCCCGGACTCGTCGGCTTGTGAAACACAATGTTGCTCACACACAGGTCCCGGACATAAATTGCCAATCAAGGTCCAAGCACCTTGATTTGAACAAAGAGACAATGTTAAATCCGAGGTCCCATAAGCTTGGAGAACACAACGCAAAAGATTCGGAGGTGCATGAAATTGCCGGGGTTTCACCGCCTTTGCTGAGCCCACTACTTCAACCGTGTCCCTCACATTCTCATCACTAGGACCCCAAATAAAGGAACAAGACAGAAAAGTGTCATGGAGGTGACTGACTTCATCTTCAAAGAGAGAGAGGAGGCGCTCCTTGTGGGAGACTACAATGCTTACCGGGCGCACACTACCAGAAAACTGCAGAAACTCCGCAAGAAGCTTGGTCAGGCCACTGTCAAAGGCCGCAAGTATACTGCCAAACCAGCTGTGACTGCTGAGAATCTTGGAAGCAATGTGTCGTATGTTGCTTACCCTATTTCCATTCCCAGTTACTCTTTCGATTAGTTTCTAACCCACGTCAGATATGTACATCTTTTGCTTCTTAGTTCCGAACGAGCTTGGGCGCAAGCAATGCACATGAAGTCTACACATTCCGCAGATACTTCCGCAAAGGGCATCTCTGGTGCTGCTCGGCGTCACATTATTTCTCGACTCAACAAGGCCACTGGGTATGCACAGCATCTAGTGTCGCTGCTTCACGAACAATCGCTTTCTGGGGCAAGTGATATGGATATCCTGGAGTCTCGGGCTTATTTGGCGATGATTTCTGGCACCCTGTGGCTTGAGAAGCGGAGATGGGAACAGTGTCTCCGGGACTATTCCATCGCAAGAGTGATTTACACAGCTTTAGGTCAAAGGGTCAAGAAAGACGCTTTCCGGGACCTGGTCTCGGGGACTGTTGACCCTAGTCTCCGATACGCGGCTTATCAGATGAAGCTTCCCCGGTCCAAACCCACATCATCACTGGCGATTGAATTCTTCCCGTCGGATTCGGAGATTTGCGCTGAGGTTGAGAAGATCGACCCCTCTTGTCTCGCTGAAGAAGCAGCCGGTACTCGACGCACTGCAGAGGGAGAAGTGCAGGAATTGCCCCAAGCTGTCACTTGGAGGGCGCGGACTGTCCCACTGGACGACGCCTCGATTTCTCAATCGTTAGCTGCTGCTTCAGCCGCGGAGGCTCGGCTCACTACTTGGTTGGCAGATGCTGGAAAGTCCGCCGCTGCTAAGGAGAAAGCTGCTGCGTATGACAACGTGATTATTGCCAGTCAGGATGCTGTCGATGCAACGAAATCCGCCATTGATGACTTGGCTAGTGAGGGTGTTGATCCCAGTGATAAGAGAATGCAGGCCCTGCAAATCACTCGAACCGCAGTGAATTACAGTTTGGTTGGCTGGCGGGTCGGTCGTAACCGGGTGTTGTGTGGAGAAAGGGACGGCTTGTCATTTGAGAAACAACAACCCACAACAAGTGGAAAGGAAACTGCGAAGCACACCACAGGCAATGGCAAGAAGTTGAATAGACTCCGTGAGCGGGTCGTCCTGTATGATTCAACACTCCAGAGCTTGGAATTTATTCTCGAGCTTCCGGGTGTTGCGGCCGACTCGGCCTTTGTGCAGGGTCTAGAGGCAAAGCGGCACTACTTCCGTGCCCTCAGGTATAGTTCTCACCATGATCCTCACCGATTCTCGCAACTCATCTCTAATTTTTTTTCATTGTAGATGTCTTGCTTTAGGAAGATCCCACGGAGTGCTTTCGAGGTCAAAGGAGGCTCTTGCGCTGTTTTCCCAAGCCTTGAACCTTGCCGCTTCCGTTACCCCCCAGTCAGCAACGGATGCTGAAGATGTCCCAAAGCTCGACGTATCCCGAGTGCAAGCGAGTACCTTGGAGTCAACCTTGCGAGAACTGGTTGCTCAATATCGTGGACTTGTCACTCTGGAGAAGGTGACTGCGGAAGAGGCGTCACAGTCGAGCCAACGGCCAGTGGTGGAGCGACTGCAACAGTTTGCAGGATCTGGACTAGACCTCAATAATTTGGTACCGTATCCACCACAAATGCAGCCGATTCCTGTCAAGCCCTTGTTCCTTGATGTGGCATGGAACTACATTGATTACCCACGTGAAGGTGGTCAGCGACAGGAGGCTCCGACTCAGACACAAGCTCAAGCCCAAGGTCCCGTGGAAGAAGAAACGAAAGGTCGTCGTGGATGGTTTGGTTTCGGTGGTCGCTGAAGCCTCTTACATAGATGCCATGTTATGAATACCCATTGATTCCTATCGTGAATATGTACAACATAAGTAGTACGACATGTACGTTGTAGTAGCAAGCACAAGCACGTGCATATAGGAGCCCTTACATGATGTTCAGCCAATCAACGTTCAACCAATCAGCGCCGATCAAACTCTCGGGAATTCTCTAGCCGGGGTCACGTCGTGCTGAGTAATTGTGATATGGCGTTGCGCTGACTTGTCTGTATTTTAAGATACAAACGGAGTACGTACATATATAGTTGTCCTATTGTATGTGTAGCTGTGCGTACTCCATACTATGTACATATCTCATTCTAGGCTATTCGTGACTTCGTTATCTTTGCGCATCTTCGATACTATTAAGTCCGGCTCGGAGATTAGTACTAAGAACCCCCGGACTATGGGCCTAAGCAGAGATTGTCCAAATAATAACTTGAGCATAAGAATATCTCTGTACAAATAATCAATAAAATCATAACATTTCAATCTTACAGAAGCTATTGAATGTTAATTTCGTAAACCATTCGAAACACAAACTATTTATGCATTGATATGGGCTAATGCTGAGCATCCCGGGGGCCTCCGTGTAATTGGCGTTCCCGCCCCTGAGAGCCCCAGTCAATTCTCTCCCCCTCTCTCTCCACTCACTTTTTTCCCTTTTTGTTCTGGGATTCGGTCCTCCCTTCTCATTAGCAATTACTTTTCTCTTCAATTCCTGCCCGGAACTTTGACTCCGTTGACTCCCCAGTATGGTCAACATGGCCAACTTCACCGGGAGCTTTGCCTCGCCATCGGCGGATGCGACGGTCTCGCCCCAACTTTTCGCGCCGGCCGGTCTCATTGCCACCGTATTGGATGGCTTCACGATTTGGAAGGGCCTGTTGACTTTCTTGGTCGCCGCCGTCATCTATGATCAGTGTGAGTGCAAATGCGACATGTGTGGCCTTTGAAATCGCGTCTTGAAACTAATCCAGACCCCCTATTTGCAGTCAAATACCACTACCTCAAGGGTGCGATTGTTGGCCCTATGTACAAGATCCCCTTTATGGGCCCATTCCTCCAATCAGTCAACCCCAAATTCACCGAATACAAGGCGAAATGGGATAGCGGAGACCTCAGCTGTGTGTCGGTCTTCCACAAGTGAGAAGTCCCAGATGTACTTGTTTCTTTCGGGTCTGTTCTCTAACACTTTCTACCAAGGTTCGTCGTGATTGCATCCACTCGTGATATGTCCCGGAAGATTTTCAACTCGCCCGGCTATGTCAAGCCCTGTGTCGTGGATGCCGCGCACAAGCTTCTCGGCAAGACCAATTGGGTCTTCTTGGATGGCAAAGCCCATGTAGATTACCGCAAGGGTCTGAACGGGTTGTTCACTCGCCAGGCTCTGGCGATGTACCTCCCCCGCTCCGAGGAGGTCTTCAACTCCTACAACGAGAAATTCCTCCAGAAGTCCGCCGCCACCAACTTCACCCCGACCCCCTGGATGTCCGAGTTCCGCGAGCTCATGTGCGCTCTGTCCTGTCGTACCTTTGTCGGTTACTATATCACTGATGAGGGCGTCCAGAAAATTGCCGATGACTACTATCTGATTACTGCCGCGCTTGAGCTGGTGAACTTCCCTATTATCCTTCCCTACACTAAGACCTGGTACGGCAAGAAAGCCGCTGATATGGTACTTGAGGAGTTCACCAAGTGTGCTGCCAAGTCCAAGGCCCGTATGGCTGCCGGTGGCGAGATTTCCTGTATCATGGACGCCTGGGTTAAGGCCCAGCTGGATTCCGCCGCATACCGCAAGAAGATTGAGAAGGGAATTCAGGTCGATTCTTCAGAGAAGCCTAGCCAGGTTCTTCGTGAATTCTCCGATTTCGAAATTGCCCAGACTATCTTCACCTTCCTGTTCGCTTCCCAGGATGCAACCAGTGCCGCCTCCACCTGGTTGTTCCAGCTGATGGCCGACCGCCCTGAGATCCTGGACAAGGTCCGCGAAGAGAACCTTAACATCCGCAACGGTGATCGCACTCTCCCCGCCACCATGGATATGCTAGACCAAATGCCTTACACCCGCGCCGTCGTTAAGGAGACACTGCGCTACCGCCCCCCTGTCATCATGGTTCCCTACCTGGTCAAGAAGGACTTCCCTATCAGCGAGACTGTCACCGTCTCCAAGGGCTCGATGATCATTCCCTCCGTGTGGCCCGCATGCCACGACGAGGAGGCTTACCCCAACGCCGACTCGTTCGATCCAGACCGCTGGATCACCGGTACCGCTGAGCAGCAGACCAAGAACTGGTTGGTCTTTGGTACAGGTCCCCACTACTGTCTGGGTCAGACCTACGCTCAGCTTTCCCTAATGTCCATGATTGGAAAGGCCAGCATGGTGATGGACTGGGAGCACACACCTACTCCCGAGTCCGAGGACATCAAGGTGTTTGCCACCATTTTCCCTCAGGTATGTTCAAGCTTATTTTCTGCCCTGATCAATTCACTAATATATATCAGGATGACTGTCTTCTTACGTTCCGCGCCCGCCCTTGAATTCTCTCCTCTTTGTACAAAACCCAAAAGCAAAGCTGGA